CTGTTAGCACGTCAATAGCCTCAGGACTCCAACAATAGTAAAAAAACCGATTTTAAGTGTCTGGCAGATATCTTTTTCGCTCCTTTCCAAAGGCGTATTACTTATGAAATAGGAATTGGCATTGGAATCTGGGAGACACTTTGCACCTTTGCCGATTTAACACTACTAATCATATTTTTCTATATTTACTTCCACTGAATCTATTTTAATTCTACTTATTTTATTATTTACAGTTACTAGAGCACCACACCATTTTATGATTCACCCTTTTTAGTTTTCTAAAGTTTTTGCTCAATTCTCCAGGGTTTTTGGAATCATGGACTTAACTGAGGCTGTCTAAGAGGACACTTCCAGACATTGGTGTAGGACGTCAAACGATGGGCATTGTAATTAGGACTCGTGTATTTACAGATGCATACCTTAGGCGGATTATTCACCAGGACTTGAATGTTTTGCTGCATTGGACTTTCTGTAATAGCGTAGTAAACAATCGTCACTAGGAAAATTGAAGACGATCATAATAAACGTTACTTGTAGTAATATTCCAAATGGTATATTTCAGGAAATAATCAACACAACAGGCAACCAGTTTCTAATATGACATAATCTTAGTGCAATTCATGGGTTTGTATTTCATTTAAAACCGAAAAAACTACCATTTACCTTTATGATTTTGCAAGGTAAATTAACTGGTCTTTTGGAATTTACATCGAATCATGAAAAGCTGTTGAGCATTTCGCAAAAATTTTAAACGGACTTTAAATGAAAAACGGCTTTTGGCCTTCTTAAGAGTCAAATAAAACATTTTCAATTTTACAACATGCATGGCATTACTTCAGCTCCTAGAGCTCCATCTGATGGAACGATCTGGTGATGATTTCCTTTGAATTACAAATAACTAGAAATGCATACGAATGACTTCATCATTCATCGCTTGTATTTATTCTAAATTTTTAATTTGAACATCAAATAGTGCCATCTTCTTTTTAAAAAGTCCCTTGAAATTCATGTGTGCAACGATGAACTGAGTAATGAAGGGAGAATTCTATCGCCGCCTTTATTATTCGCCGTACGTTGCGAAGGCAAAATAACCCTGATCCACAACAGAAAGAATGGTAACTGGCATGTACGGGTCTGCTACGCCTTCTGCCTGAGTACGCTGCAAGTAAACCTTTGCTTCCTCATTCCAAGCATGCATTTATAGTACCGCTAAAATGGCCACGGTTTTAGTCAACTACATGATGTCCATTCATATAAGGGAAGCACAAATACCTCTTTCCCTTTAGAAGTAAAAAGCGAATCTCATTCTTACGTGATGATGAAAGACCTCGTAACCTACTACTACAACTAAAACTTGTGGGAATGTCAGCTCCTTGGGATGGAAGCTGGAGAAGCCTGGTAAGAATTACTTCAATCCCAATTTTCATGCTGTTTTCAACACTAATACGTCAGGTAGAAAAGACTCTTTGAAACAATTGTAAATTTGAGATGTAGGTAGCCAGATGTAGGATAATAAAAAATTTGAGGCAGAAATTCTGCCTGAAGTGAAACACCTTGCAAGTTTGCGCTTGCAAATCATTTCGTAGATTAAAATACGGTATCTATCCCTAGCCGTCTTAAAATTTCGAATACTAAGTTCCTTGCGTCATCCATAGTAGGACAAATTGAGTGTAAATTTAAATGTCCGCAGGCATTATAATGTAATGTCACCTTCTATCACATTCTTTTAAACTTCGGACGATTGCGGCATCATACCAATCAAAATCCACAGTTTGCTTAATCGACAATACGAAAATTGGCAGACGCGGATGGTTCGAGATCATTTACCTTTGTGCGATTATTGCCCATTTGCTATTATGTCAAGGTTTTGAACTGCCTAATTGATTCAAACTTTTCATTTCTGCTGTATGATAAATAGAGCTTAGAAATAGTCGAATGAAATGACCACATTAACATTGGACGACTTGTTTAAATGTCTGCCACAAATAAATGCTTTTCTTATAACTGCTTTGCGGCAATTAGTTCAGTTTATTCGGATTATGTAAATAGATATGCGCTAGTCTGATGGTAATCAAACTTTACGGAATGTTATTTTTTAGTTAATTTGCCTTTATCCATTTAGGATTCATCTAGAATGCGTAAATGCCTAAATGATCCTTTATCAGATTGTCACAAGGTATAAATTGTGTGCCAGTAGATGAAAGGAGAAACACGTAACCTTCAACTTTGTGCAAGATGTATTCAGAAACAAGTTTTCTGAGAGCTGTTAAATAAATGGAACATACATTGAGGTAAAACAGCGTATTAATATGAAGATTTACCTCTGCACAATGTGATTGATAGTGGTTTATGGACAGCTTACATCTACCTCACATAAGTATTGTTCACCGGAATTATTAATCACACGGTTAGTTTGGATCCCTAGATGGTAGCTGCGGCGTGTTTTAAACAAAGGTTAGCAGCGGTTGTTTGCATCTTAATGTGGTCTCACGATCTATGCCAAATACACATTGTAAAACAAATGAATTTCGAGGTTTTGTCGAAATGACTCACCAACAATGCAATTATGGTGTTGCTTGTAGAAAAAGATATGTCCACACTTAAATGGATATGATAACAGTTGGACAATAGGATGCTTCATTGTGTTCTTTGCAAGGAAGAATTAAAGGTTTAAAAGCTTGGGCCACACTATTGCTAGTAAGCAATGGAATGCCTCTGGGATTCTTTAATAAACTGACTCCTAAATCAAATCGGATGCATGAAATGTATTTGGGCATAATAAATAAACAGTTATTTTGAAAATACCATCAGAGGATTGTATAGAGGGGAGATTTAACTGAAAAATACGCTTTTTCCTTCAATTTACTCATTAACCTTATAGTCAACAATCTGTAGTAAAAATGTGGTTTGAAAGGGTATATCTCGTTGTGATTAAGTTCTCCACCGAAATGAATCAAGATACGCCATTACAATAAATACCTTTTTCGACCAACCTTGCTTCAATGCAGCTCCGCGCTTCTCGATGTTACGTAGGTAATAACAGAATACTGTGCTAGCCACTAGGTCAAAGGGATAATCCACCCCATTCTCAATCTATATTCAGACCAGTCTTTGTTTCGTAGTCACTTTCCAAAACATCCCCAAATATTTGCCCATAGTGTGTTTGCTTTGTTATTTCAAAATATTAACTATTAAAAAGAAGGAATGTTTAGAGTTATTTGAACTCCCAACTGTGTTTAGATCACTAAATCGTGGTTAACTAATTAAAAAGTTAATTTCAATAAGCAGAAAAGGAAATTAACAAGCCATTTTGGCCTAAAAGTTATGGGAGGTTATCTAAAGCGCCAACGGGATTCAGCATAGAGCTAACGACTGTCAAGTGGTTATATTCACAATCATTTTACAAAATAACACAATTACGACTTGTAATCACCGATGTTTTCTCTTTTCAGATAGCACATTTCGTAAAACATCGTGTCCCAAGTCAGAGCTTTCATTTCCAGCTATCTGTATAAGTTCAACGATTTTACCTAAGAACGATGTGTTATTCTACGTTCTTGAGGGGTTCAAGCAATTCTGTTCAACAAGTGCTGTGTAACTTGTTGCATAATGGATGGCAAACTGAACTAGCTTGTAGAAATCACCCCCTAGACACTAGAATCCGGTGGAACCAATGGCGAGTCGGCGTGGCCAATGGAGAGGCTGCAGTAAGTGGTGTCAACCTGTATAAATGTGGACACAAGATAAGTGCGGCATTGGAGTCAACATGCGAGGGAGAGCATGGCAGCTGCTAGCGCTGTTGTGGGCAGCAACTATAGGCTTTGTGCTAAGCCCACCAAGGTCTAGGGAGTATGCTGGCATTAGTAATACTGTCACAATCTCCCTATCCCACAAACTGTTCATTGATATACCCAACAGAATTATCATTTATTCAGAGAAACAAATTGATAAAGTGACCATAAATATGACTGTTCACGGTCTCCTGCCTCTAAGCGTTATGCTGACAA